TTAAACTTAGATCAAACATAGAGCTTTTAAAACATAGGGACAAAAAAACTCTTTCAAGTTTTATAATAAATATTTTTTGACAAACCAGATGATGACTCTATTTTTCGAGATTTTGCAAAATCAACTGAGGATATAGTCTCGAAAATCAATGAAGCCGATCTCCCAGGTACATACAATATTCACATACTATATTAATCTTTTAAGTTAGACATAAACTAAAAATAATGTTAATTGATTCTTTATAGGATCAAACGAAATCATGAAACATACAGTAGAATGTAAAAGAACAGCAAATCTAATTGAAAGAGATCCAGCTTTTAAAAATACAGGTGTTATAATTGCCACTAAGCTTCGAAAATTTGGGGAAAGTGTTATGGAAGCAGGAAATGATCTACAAATAATGTATCGCAAGGGTTCTTATGTCTTTGAAACTTTTAAAATTGAAATAAAAACCATGATGGATAGACTTGATATTCAAGAACCTAATAAAGGCGAATTCTTTAAAGAAAGAATTAATAAAATGATTTTAGTGATTCAAGATTTTAGTAATAAAGTCAAGAAAGCAAAAGATTCTATTTTAGATGCAGAGAATAACCGAGATGGCCTTGAGAAGGAACTTATTAGTGGAATTAGAGAAGCTGAAAAGTTTATGGAAGCAACAGGATACTGGAAACCTGATTCAGTTGATTTGAGAAAAGCTGAAGATGGATTAGCTACAGTCAATAACATTTTACTCCATCTTAGAGGAGCTGCTTATCGATTAGATGAGATAATTAAAAACTTGAGAAGATATGAAAATAGTTTATTTGATGTAAATGCAGAATTGGGAAGCATTTTTATTATTACTAAACTTGATTTTAATTATTTGTTAAATTCTATTGATGTTTTGCATCGTTATCATCGCCAATTTATGGCAAAAGAAAATAATTAAACTATCAGGGCTATTTAATTTTTCAATAAATTATTTTTGTTATATAAAACGGAATAAGATCTATCTAATAGATCAAATATTAATAGCGATGATATCATCAATTTTTATGCTACATTCTGTTAATAATGTGCTTGCACTGTCACATATTCGAAGGTAAAAAAAAAACATAAATTTATCATTCATTTTCTCGATGCCTATATTCACTAATTAACACGAATGAAATGAATTGAGAAAATTTGCATAATAGTAAACATTAAATAAACTCTAAATCGTTTCAAAATGATGCGAAATCGAAGAAGTATGTAAATGTATACGTACGTTGTTAACTTTGAAAGTTTTAAAGAATTACCGTTACGGGTATGGAAAAGCCACATCAAAAGATCAAATCGTCCTAATGGTAATCAACCAATGGGGGAAACTAGTAACCATTAGTGACAATGGTAGTAAACAACAGGTTTAGCGAGGAAATAATATTTTTATGTCTTGATTAGTTATATATATACTCAAGTAATGATGGTATGTAGTATAGTTTAGTATTAATTCCTCTTAATAAAACTGGCCTTTTCTATATATTTAGTATAAATTTTTGGTAATATAAAGCATATTCGACTAAGTTGTAAATTCTCTATCCTAAAATAAAATAAGATTAAATTAATAACATTCTCCTCGTTAACATTTATTTATCCAGCTTCCTCGTATTGTCGGCATCGCTGTTGAGTTAATAACACAAATTTAAGTTATGTCCACACGATAGTTACAACGTATGTAAGTGTATTGGGCATAAACACGGAAAAAATTGGGACATATCCAAATATTTGAGAATAAATCCAAATTCTCATTTTTGTATAATTATCAATTTTAGAATTTGTTTCGCTTAAGTAGAAGTTCAAGATGAACAAATAACAGTAATGATAATATGAGATTTTAAGAAAATTTTGGCCAAAACTATACAGTAAACTTACAATTTTCACATACATACTACGAAACTACACTTTTCGTTCCACACACCGTCATAATGATTTGGAAACAGTTAAGTAATCTAGAAGTCGGCTAGAGGGTGACTCTATACACATTAAAGTAGTGAGATATTTTTAGAACATATTTAATAATTTTAAATTAACGATTCAAATAATAAATATAGTCAGCCTTTTCTTTAAGAGTGTCTATTTGGCCATCTAAAAGTTACAAGTATATTGTACTGTATATAGAGCACATTATATTCTTTTAGTATTACATATAATAAGTTCTTTACAATATACGAATGTTTTCCATAAAGTTACGTACGAATATTTGGGCTACACAACTTTAAGATCCCTTTATGCACTTATTTACAATTGTGCCTAAGTTATATCACTCCTTTTTTTCAATTTAGTTGATTATTTATTAAATTATTTCAATATGAATGTAAATAAATTTTACTACAGTACCTACTTGCTGCTTTGTATTGCGTTTAGATTCTTTCGTGATCTTTTATCTTCGATTTGTTGATTGCTACCTTTTCTCACAAAAAATTTCATTAGATTGAGAGATGTTAAGGAGAAACCTCTCAAAATGAATTTTCCCTAAATGCATACTCAAATTCTATCGCAAATATATACTTTGACATCTATAATACACCTTTTTCTTATTGTTCTCAAATGTACTGTAATTATCGATTTTTGTGATATTCGATCTGTCTGACAGAAAAATATTTATTATAAAACTTGAAAGAGTTTTTTTGTCCCTATGTTTTAAAAGCTCTATGTTTGATCTAAGTTTAA